GTTTTATAATCGAGAGACTGTCCTTTTTCGTCATTACTCTATATGTAGAATTTCTTTTGTTTATGATGTTTATGCATGACGAAATAAATATTTTGAATTTGAATTTGAATTTTGCCAGGTGCAAAAGAAGAAATAGAGATGTTCCTGACTGAAAATACAGGGTGTAACCGTTATGATAGTCATTATTTAAATGAGTGATACAGGGAGTTAAAAGAAACAAAAAGTTTCATATAGCACGGCATTTTTTTAGAGAAAAGCGAGTTTCTTCTTACTCTAGGTCCTCGAAGTTGTCCATTCATTATTTCAGCCGCATTAAATTTTTTTTTCGAGAAGTTGTGCTTCAGTTGTTTTGGACCAGCCCCATCAACCAACCCTTTAATAGGTTAAGCGCCACGGCGGACACCGGCTTTCAAATTTTTATCATCTCCTCCCGGCCAGGCGGACACGGTTTTATACGTTTTCCAGAGAAATCTAGTGACATTCTTATTGTAATATCAAATAAATATTTATCCATTTATTTCACTTATTTATTTATCCATGGAGATAAAATAAACATTTAATAAACAAAGTATATTGAACAAAAAAGTTTTGCAAATACATGTCTACATTTATTTCGTAAAAATTTTAACGAGTTTTCTGAACTAAATTAAAACATTCCAGACAGAATCTAGGTTTATCTTCGCACTGTGTACAATAAATTATTACTTTTTTAACTTTATTTCTTCCAATAAGTCCATCTTGTTTCTTCTTGTAACAACCCTTGCAGTACGTCTATTCTCCCATGCCTTACAATCCAGTTTTAGTAATACGTGAGCCCTCAAATTCATGTACGGTCATAAGTGTAGCCATCTTCGAATTTCAGCAATTGTTCTGCATTCCGAAAATTATGTATGGAAATGTCGCTCTGTTCGATCTCCCTGTGAATGAAATATTCATTCACAATTGAGGTAGTCGTTTTTTCTCGCCAGAGCTAATTGTAATATCCTCTTTGATCGTCCATTCATTTTTATTTCAAAAAGTTTCACTTTACGGTCAAAACTTCAGTAAAACGGTGCAACACATCACACTCGAAGCGATGAAAAACTAAAGTATATTCAGATAAGAGACAGACCGGACATAAACAAGACCACGTGATAATCGAACGCTGTAACATTCGGCAGGGACGTATTAAAAGTCACGCAGTACATATTTTAGATAGTAGATGCTGCTTTGCGTAACTTTGTAGTAAATTAGCACAATTCGATGTGTATACGATTGGTGATGGATATAGGATCATGTGGGGGTGGGGTAAGAAATATATAATGATGTAAATATACATAAAGGTTTCAAAATTTTCGCTTCGATTTCCAGCTTCGGATGCCGCCTGATGTTTGGTGAAATACAGTCGAATATAATCTCAAAATGGCGTTTAAATTAGCCTAAATTAAAAATAATCGTATATCTCTTAAAATTGCTTTTAGAATATTGATTAGTATATTTTTTGATTTCTAGGTAAATATGTAACCAAATTAAAACGTTCAAAACGTAAAAAAATGTGCATGGTTGAAGATTGTCAGAGAGTATATTCTTGAATAAGTTTTGCCAAAATGGGTTCAAAAATGTCAATAATTAATTAAAAAATACAGTAGCTTTATAATTACTTATAACTTACCGAATTTGATGAACGACATCTTTTATTGGAAAGATGAGCTTGATGAGCTTTCATCATCGCTACTGCCTGAAGCACCAACGTCAATAATGAATGGCTCGACATGTTCCTCTAAAATATTGTCCAGTTCCCACATTCTCTTTTCAACTTTGTCTTTCACGTGCTTAATACAGTTTTCCCATTTTTGCGCTGTTATTAATTCTAGTGCTTCTTTGAAAAGTCCTTTGAGGTCACAAAATTTAAAAGTTGTATTGTGCTTAGCTATATAATTTTTAACCTCTGCCCATATGAGCTCAATGGGATTGAGCTCGCAATGGTATGGAGGTAAACGGAGCACAGTTTTATTTTGACTTGCTGCCATTTCGTCAATGGCGTATTTTTGATATTCCGCCTTGTGATCCTTGACAATTCTTAATAATTGTACTTTCAGCATTGCTTCTTCAAAGTTGATATTTTTCGAGCGGAGCCAATTTTGAACATCAACTTTCCTTGAAGCCGTTGTTGGGACCTTCTCCATTCTTCGAGAATGATAAGGCGCATTATCCAACACAATTACTGAGTTTTCCTCTAAGTTCGGTAAAATTTTTGAAAACCACTGTTCAAACGATTCGCCATTCATTTCCTCGTGGTAATCTCTAGTTTTCTTAGACTCAAAGCACCACAGACCGTCAACAACAAATCCATCCTCACTGCCAATATGGCAGATAATGAGCCTTTTCCCTTTACCTGGAAATCGAAGTACTAACTGGTGTAGATTTATTTCAATAAGCGAACCTTTTTCAAATGTTTTCATCACATTCAGCGAAAAAACATTGAGACATGAGTATCAGATTGCTATAATTGGGATTATTTAGTCATATTGAAAGAAAGAATATTGAACGTCGTATGATTACTCAGCGCTTCACAATTTAATTTAAAGTTATAAACCTTTAAAAAATGAATGATCAGGAACCTGAAATACGCGCAAATATTAATATTAACAAATTATAACTTTATAAAGCTTAAAGTATGAATTAAAATGATTAGAAATATTAGGAACGGTACACAATATAAAACTTAGTAGGTAACTTTTTTTAAGTTTATAATATTCGACATATTTTAAGATTATATTAAAAAATTATTGAAATATCGAAAACACATAAAAACATGGCTTAAAAAAGTTCTAACAAATGAAAATGACAATAAAACATCCACGCATTTTATCGAAAGTTATAAAAGTTTTGTTACTTGTAATATGTTTTATCTGCCCCCTGGAATTAATGTTTAGAACCTTGTTCCCAAGGTTTGAAAAACATCCGATTGTTGTCTATTACTCGTATTTACCTGCTGGATTTTTTAATCCGGTGGACAGTCCATCTAGAAAGGCCCTCCTGGATGAAGTTACAGAATCATCAACCCATACTTTACTTGTAGTGTGTCCTGCGTTTACCCACGTTTCATCAAGGTAATAAATCTTCCTGTTTTGATTTCTATATTTCCCAATTCTTGTTAAATAATCCCTCTTCCATAGCACAATTTCTTCTCTATCCAGTAGTAAACTATTACGACCCCGTTTTTTCCATTTGAAATTTAAATGCTTCAGTAACGCATGGAAAGTTGATCGTTTGAAATTTGGCAACGTTGTATCTTCATTTACCTCCTGCAGTACTTTATCTATAGTAGGTATTTCATTCCTAAAGAAGAATTCATGCACTTTCCTCCTAATCGCATGCTTATCAGCTTCATCCAATGATTAAACAATACTTTTGCGATGTTTACTGGTCATTGGCTCAGAAAAGGTGTGATTTTTTTTGTATTATCTTAACACATTAAACACTGATGCGCGACACACCCCAACTTTGTGAGAAACCTTCACAACAATTTCTTTGATGGTTGATGCCTCGTTCTCCTCGCGCTCGATCTCATATATATTCAAAATGACCTCTTTCATTTCTGCACTCAGGTGTCTTTTTTTAGAGCGTTTCCTAGGTGGACTACAGGAGTTTACAACTTCATCGGCAGTATCTGTACTACTGGGCATTTTGCGCAAGCAGTTGATAACAATAACAATCAATAACAAGGTATAACAATAACAACGACAAACTCAACAACTCAATAAGATAACAAACGAAAACGTCCAAAGAAATATCAAATTGCCATGATGCACACGACATACGTAACACGTCTGAACCTGAATGTGACTCTGCCTTGATACGACTGCTCTGCCGCTCGGCATAGGCATTTAATTGCGAATTGACCAATGAGGGCTCCTGTTTTACGTCGAGACGGCGGCGTTAGCGTGAAAATCACCCGAACCTTTTGTTTACATCCGGTCTATCTCTTATCTGAATATACTGTAATCAATAACAACCTGTATCATCAACTCTTGGAAGTATCGTGTCCGCTCGTTCTAAACATTTTCGGAGGGCCTTGGCGGACACCGGTGTCCGCTTTTTTTTTAAATCTATGCGAAATAAAATCAAATATCGAGCGTTTGTGGTTAAATAGACGTAAATTTTAAAAAGTTGTTAAAATATACTAAGTGACATATAAATCCGAAAACCCAGTTTAAATGGTTTTATTTTAATAAAATTTTGTATAAGTACTTAATGAGGGCCATTAAAAATGAAATGTTGCGTTACCAAGATACATAGTGATCGTTCTCCAGAGTGTTCATTTGAAAACTTCCTATCACGGATTTATCGAAAACCGCTGATTAGAAGAAAAAACATCAAAGGACGTCAAAAGATTTGTCAAGGGGCACAACTTTTTCACCAAAAACTACTTCACCCTCGGCGCCCCAACACTATCTATTTTATTTTTGTTTTTGAATTCATTATCTGCCCTAGAAGTATTGCCACATTTATTATCACCCTTAACAGGGAATTATACACTACTCAAAAAATTAAGGAACCAAGAAGAAGACTCAAATTTTTCGGTAATTTTTGACAGGCTTTGCTTAGGTGAAAAATGATCGTTTCTAGTCTTCAAAAAAGACTTTTTGACGCTTTAAAATTTTAGTTTTCAGATTTTTTCTCCGAAAATTCTCCATATAATGGCCTAATGGGAAAAAATTTTAATGCCCGTGTTCTAAAAAGTAGGCAAAAAATTTACAAAAACAATTTTCATGCTATATCTGTTAGAATTGCTTTGGTCCTAAAATTTATCGGATAAAAAACCCGAAAACTAGAATCTTAAAGCTTCAAAACGGTTTTTTTTAAAGCGTATAGACGACCATTTTTCACCGAAACATCACTGAAAAAATTGGATTTTTTTCTTAATCCCTTAATTCTTTTGAGTAGTGTGGAATGCTGAAAGAGAAATTGGAAAAAAGGCATACTATCGTAGCTAATTATATTATTAACTGTTTCAGAGACTTTTACCTAACGTCGGCAGGATGGATAGGTCAAAAGAACAATCTTATATCAGTGGTGTGGATAAATCGGCCTCAGAACCTGAGTATAATTTCTTCTTGCTTAGCACCAAACTGGACGTGTATAGAGGTAAGTAGAAATAACATAAAATCATGAGATGACCAATTTAAAAAAAAGTCTGATACTTTTGCACTAGCTACCATGAAATTTCTACGATTAAACTGGTATCAAATCACACCTAGATGCTATTTTTTCTTTTATAAATATACTAAGTGACATATAAATCCGAACACCCAGTTTAAATGGTTTTATTTTAATAAAAGTTGGTGAATGTATTTATCTTACTGTAAATAACAAGTGAAAAAATTTCCAGCCTTATCAGTTGGACATTCCGGTTTTTATACTGCTTTTTTTAATTCACTAACGCTCTAAAAATGAATATTTCAGCCGCAGTAAAGAATCAACGTTGGCGGGTTTTGGTTCTTGACATCCTTTACGATCGGTTACGATGCCTAGAGTACGGAGACCTGTACGATTTCGTCAACTTAGTGAGTTTGATAGGGGCCGTATAGTGGGACTTCGGGAAGCTGGACTTTCTTTTCGGGCAATTGCAGTTAGAGTGCAAAGAAGTGTAGACACTGTGGTTAGGTGTTGTCAGGCATGGCTTCGAGAAGGCCGTACGCAAATAGCAAGGGGCACTGGACGCCTCCGTAGAACAACAGACCGTGAAGATCGCCGCCTAAGATTATTGGCCGTAAGGGACCGTTTCTCCACTACCAGGTCCATCGCAAATGAATGGTTTGCAGAACACGGAAGACCTATTGGCATGCGAAGTGTTTACCGACGAATGAGAAGTTTTGGCTTGTTTTCATACTGGCCACACTGGGTCCTCCCTTTAACTCGAGAACACCGACGTAATCGCCTTGAGTGGTGCAGACAACGGTCACTCTGGGATCAGGAATGGAACAGTATTGTCTTTAGTGACGAGTCTCGATTTTGTTTAGGCATGCACGATGGTCGTGCCAGGGTTAGAAGGCGACGTGGTGAAAGGATGAATCCACAGTTTTTTGTTGAAAGACATGTTCATCACACTGTTGGAGTTATGGTTTGGGGTGCTATAGCTTATGGTTCCAGGTCACCTTTAATCTTCATCAGAGGTAACATGAACGCGCAGCGTTATATCCACGAAGTTCTAGAACCCCATCTTTTACCCTATCTTGACACCCTGGCAGATCCAACTTTCCAACAAGATAATGCCCGACCACATGTTGCAAGAGTCACAATAGACTTCTTTCAACATAATGATGTCACATTGTTACCATGGCCACCAAGATCTCCCGACTTATCCCCAATTGAGCACGTGTAGGATATGATGGGTAGGAGATTGCTCAATTTGCAACGTCCTCCTCAGTCTCTAGAAGCACTTCGAGAGGAGCTGGTGGTTGCCTGGAATGAGATACCACAGGAGGACATTGACCAACTCATCAGAAGCATGCCTAGGCGCGTTGGAGAATGCGTAGCACATCAGGGTGCATCCACACATTATTAAAGGTCAAAGGGCTTTAAAGCAGTGCAATCATTTTGAAATTTTTATCATTGACTTATTATGTTTCATTAAGTACTTATACAAAATTTTATTAAAATAAAACCATTTAAACTGGATGTTCGGATTTATATGTCACTTAGTATATAACACTAGTTTACAAATTTTTGCTTTCAAAAATGTACCTCAACAAGAAGATGTTTTTTAGACTAATTTGAGGTCACTGAAAACGAAAATGACTCTTATTTATTTTTCCAAAGAACCGTTCTTGAGACTTTTGCAAAAAGTTTTTTGTGCCCTAATGCAGTTGTAACCTGAAATCTCCGAAAAGGTGCGCGTGATTTTTTTAAAGTGTGTAATTTTCGAAAGGCACACATATGATTTGTGTCAATCGAATTCGTAGTGTTCCCCCAGTAGTCGTTGAAAGTTGAAAAAAGAGCATTATTGAAGCTTTTCTAAAAATTATCGACGTTTATTAACTTGTTTTGGGACCTTTGACTATAACTAATAAGACATCTGAACAAATAAACAATGTGCGAATAAATTCGCGAAGTTAACAAAGCAATAATTGAAAGATTACCATTGGGTAACATCGCCTTTATTTTTTATTACGGCTCAAATTCATTGGGGCATAGTGTTAACCAAGTTTTGGCAAAAATTTGGTGTAAAACAATCCCATATTTCTTGAAGCTTTTGTCTCAGTTCGGTGATTGTACGAGCAGGATGTTGTCGTAGAACCTTTTTCATCTCGCGCCACAAAGTTTCAATAGGTGACAGATCTGGACTGCTAGAACCCATTTCAAAAGTGGTACATTATTTTCTTCCATCCATTTTATAGCCTTTTTTGAGGTATGGCACGCTGCACCATCTTGCTGAAACACAAAATCTTGGCCGGATGTCAAACATTCTTCCATCACTGGTAAAAGCGATTCTTCTAAAATCGCCAAATATTTGTTTGTATCCACATTTCCATCAATAAAATGAAGTTTTCCTACTCCTTTTGATGACATACTTCCCCAGACCATAATGGATGCTGGAAATTTCACTTTTCTCTTCAACATGGAATGCTTCATTTTTTTGCGAATAACTCTACTGCGACTGTCACCAACACAAACATCGAATCGGGCCTCATCACTCCATTGTATTGCACACCATTGTTGGGGTGTCCATTGTCTATGTTCTTTAGCCCATCTAAGCCGATTTTTCTTTTGCAGTGGAGTTAATAGAGGCTTTTCTTTGACCTATAAACAAGTTGTGCAACTTTACGGTTTTTACTTCACTTTTTTTTAAAAGAAAACTTAACTTGCAAATGCTAAATCCCAGTTTGTGGGCCTCTCTATGAGTTGTGGACCTCGAAATTCTCCTTCCAACAGCGTCACTCCACAGAGCACTTAATTGTCAATAATTGGCACGCCTGATTTTCACGATTATTCTTCTTAATGCTCTTTGGTCGGCATTTGTGATATTGTGACAGCTGTGACTAATAAAAACAATTGTTATGGCTTTTATTTTTCACAGCCACCTATGCGTTAAAGACTTATTTTGCATTGAAATGAAAATAGGTTGATATGCTGTAATTGCTACATGTGTTATTTTCATGCTGCAAATTTGATTAGGGAGTGATAAATCTGGTGTTTCCTACTATATATTGTTAGATTCTATTTCAAATATCTAAACTTGGCTCTCCCTATAACACTGTTTGGTCACTCACGCATGTGGGCCCAAGAACGGCGCGGGAGAAGACGTACTGCCGCGCTGGGCAGACACTGCCTGACATTGACCGTGAGTGGTCGTAAATTATAAAAATCTAACATCAGGTGTGGGGTACACGCGTACTTTTCGTAAACGTTTGGTACTCTGTGAAGTTTTGTGGTTGTGACAGACATTATGGCAGACACTGCCTGACATTGACCGTGAGTGGTCGTAAATTATAAAAATTTAACAATATTATCAAAATATTCATTGTTACATTTTTATTATTTGTGCTTGATAAGAAAAAAACAGAGATTTCCATAGTTGGGCCAACTGAAGTGAGGGGCTCGTACTTACTTGGACTAGTCTGGCTCTGAGGTACAGTTGTGTACTTTGTATATTTTATTGTCAAAATTGAAGTCACTAAACGTACCTAGAATCTAGAACACCAGCTCTGAATACTGTTCAAGTTTTACCAGATTTACAGCAGATTCATTATTGCCAGCGTTACAGACTAATACAAAAATAGTCTAATCATATTAGGTGAAAGTACCCGTGGCTTGCGAAATAATTGTAAGGTCTGGTTTTATCGGTGCAAATTGTTGAAGAGGGTATTTGAAACATGGACGCATGAAATGGGTACACCAATTTTTGTGGAAAAACTTTTTATTCGACAAACAAGAATGAGAAAACGTGTTTTTTGGAATTCAATCCCAAAACACCTGTTTTCCGGTCATTACTACTAGTTTGCTGAGCAATATAGAGGGTTAGTTCAAAGGGCATTTCATAGCTAAATACACTAGTTTACCTTGTCGATATGAATCGCAAACCATTCGGGTAGATAAATGTTATTTTTGTGCACAAAAATGATGACTTACGATTTTTCTTCTAAACAAATTCAAATAACGGTTGATTTTTCAAGAGGTAGAGGATTTGATTTTCAAAAAAAAAACACAAAAAATTTGAAAAAACGATTAAATCTTTATTTGAGTCGATAGAACGGTCGATATAATTTAATGTTTAAAGATTATTTCATATAAATGTTGGCCGCGGCTCCGCTTTAGATGGCCCATGCGCAAGGTCCAATTTTGGCACACTCTCTCCAACATATCGGCCGGTATCTCACGAATAAATGCTTCAATATTGGCTTCCAGTGCGTCAATCGTTGCTGGCTTATCCCTGTAGACATTAGCCTTAACATGGCCCCACAAGAAATAGTCCAACGGCGTTAAATCACACGATCTAGGCGGCCAATTGACGGGCTCCAAACGTGAGATAAACTGTTCACCGAACTCGCCTCTCAATAGGGCCATTGTTTCGTGTGCGGTGTGGCATGTGGCACCGTCTTGTTGAAACCACATGTCAGCCAAGTCCAGCTCTTCCATTTTGGGCAAAAAAAAGTTTGCTATCATCGCACGGTAGCGCTCGCCATTCACAGTTACGTTCCGGCCATTGTCGTCTTTGAAGAAGTACGGCCCGATGATGCCACCGGCCCATAATCCACACCAAACAGTGATTTTTTCGAGATGCATTGGTAGCTCTTGCAATGCTTCTGGCTGGTCTTCACTCCAGATGCGGCAATTTTGCTTGTTAACGTACCCATTCAACCAGAAATGAGCTTCGTCGCTGAACACAATTTTTCGATAAAAATGTGGATCTTCCTCCAACTTTGCCAGCGCCCATTCACCAAATGGGACACGTTGTGGGAGGTCGTGTGTCTTCAATTCTTGCACCAGTTGTATCTTATAAGGTTTTACACCCAAATCCTGTCGCAAAATGTTCTACGTAGTGGAATAACAGAAGCCCAACTGCTGCGAACGGCGGCGAATCGACATTTCACGGTCATCACTAACACTGGCGGATACAGCCGCAATATTTTCTTGAATCCTCACGC